ATCAGTTCAAGCATCGGCTCACAGACATTCCACTGCTGGAGGCATTTTGTTGTACAATGTGTAATTGTGCAATGTGCAAACATCATCAGAGCTATTCCAGGGAACTACTTTTCCAATAATCTGAGTCACAATCCTTGAAAGCCATTTTAAGTTTTCCGCAATGCTAGCAGTTGCTCAGTCCACAACCTTGGTCAAGACAGAAATATAAATGATGAGTGGATAGCCTTGAAATATGGTGCAGACATTCTCACCCTAATTTTTTTTAGGATCACAATGAAGTGTTGGTTTAGATTGACAGGTCTCAACTATTATTGGATTGATTATATTGATCGTCTCCACAGGATCAATCTTTATATTTAGGTGGACCCTGACTCATCTCTTAGTGTCGCTATTACTCTCACCAGTGCTAATGAGCAAATGTAAAAATGTAAATGTAAAAAAAAAAACAGTGAACGTTATTGGTACTGTGAGCATTTAGCATTTAGATAAAACCAGCTCTATGCCTTGGTGCAACCTCTCCGACATAGCTACAGACTCTATGTCTGAGTTTTTCTTTGTCTTTCTATCTTCTTAGAGAGCTTGGGATGAGTTAAGTGTCAAAATGGACCCGAAGGCTGTAACGTTTATGCAAATAATCTTAAGGTAACTAGAAAAAGCTAATTATCACTTGGAGCCATTTCAAATATGCAGTCTGTCATCAACAGAGTTGCACTTTGTTCTCAAACGTATGAGCCAGTCTTTCAAGGACAGGAGTTTAAATGTATGAGATTCCAACACATCAATCATTGGTTACACAAAGGCCTACTTCTTTTTAATAGGGGAAGTTACAAGCATGTAGGTGGTTGTCAGCAGTAAGAGAGTGACTTTTAGTGACATTGCTCAAGCACTTTGACGGACTGCATCACGAGTACAACTGATTAACACAAACACCACTGCTGAAGACCACCATTGGGGTAGAAGTTTATGTTGGAGAATGACATGGCGGAGCCGTCCTGCTCTTCTTGGGCCTCGCCTTGCTTGCTCGTTCCAAAGTCGGATAACACGCCCAGATTTTGTTCAGACTTTCGTAAAGTAAATAGTGTCACAAAACCTGATTGTTTTCCCCTCCCTCGTGTGGAGGATTGTGTCGACCAGGTTGGGTCAGCTAAATTTGTGAGCAAATTTGATTTGTTCAAGGTCCACAGGCTTATATTCCTATTCAGTCATGCCTTTTGGTTTGCGTAATGCGCCGGCGACCTTCCAACGCCTGATGAACAGGGTTGTGGGAGATCTGGAAGGTTGTTCAGTGTATTTAGACGATGTTGTCATTTACTCAGATGATTGGGACGTCCATCTTGACTGCATTGGCGAGTTGTTTGACCGCTTGGCTCACGCACATTTAACTGTGAATCTGGCCAAATGTGAGTTTGCGAAGGCCACGGTTACTTATCTTGGTCGTGTGGTGGGTCAGGGTAGAGTTTGTCCTGTGAGAGCAAAGGTGCAAGCTATTGATAACTATGTTCCTCCTACAACCAAAAAAAAACTGATGAGGTTTTTGGGGCTCGTTGGGTACTATCGTTGTTTTTGTAGTAATTTTTCAACTGTGGTTGCCCCTCTTACTAACCTGTTGAAGGCTAAAGCTACGTTTGACTGGTCTTCTGAGTGTCAGTCTGCGTTTGAGAATGTGAAGGCCCTTATTTGTCATGCTCCGGTTTTGGCTGCTCCTTTGTGGGATAGGCCCTTTAAAGTTGAGGTAGATGCCAGTTATGTAGGGGGCGGGAGCAGTGTTGCTGCAACCTGATGACTTGGAAGTGGATAAGCCTGTTTGTTTTTTTTCACGGAATTTTAATAAGCATCAGTTAAATTATTCTGTTATTGAAAAGGAAACACTGGCTTTGGTTTTGGCTTYGCAGCATTTCAGTGTCTATGTTAGTTCTGGACCTGTTGTTGTTTTCACAGATCACAACCCCTTGACATTTCTGAGTTCACTGCAATGTCCGAACCAACGTTTAATTCRGTGGGCCCTGTTGTTGCAGTCATTTTGCCTTGAAATCCGCCATATCAAGGGCTGTGACAATGTGGTAGCTGACGCCTTGTCAAGGGCTCCATGTGATTAATCTGTTTGCTGTATATTCATATTGGTGTCTGTTTTATTTGTTTCAGGTATCGYCTGCTCCCTTGTCCTTTTCCCTTCTACCTCTTGGGCTGCCAGGGTTCCGTGTGGGACCCTGTCTTTAGGGGGGGGGGTGTTACGGCCCCAGCCCATGTCTGTGTCCTGTCTGTGTATGGTGTGTATGCTGTGTGGGTGTGTCTTGCAGGTTGCTGATTGTTAGCCGGCTGGARGTTCCTGTGCAGGGCTCCCTGATTGGCTTGCTGTTATAAACCCCCTGCCGTGGGCTGTCTTGCTCTCTCTCACTCATCCCTGAGATCTCCATCCTGCTGCATCTACTTTTGTTATGTTCTGCACCTGACAACATGCACCACACATACTACATAGCACTCAAACACCCTCACACACTACTGACGCTCACTTTCACACGCCATCGCTCATTTCTGTTTATGTTAAACCAATAAACCATATTGTAATTCGCTACATCACGCTGCCTTGTCTGTGTTGTTGCGGCCTCAGAGCCCGGCGTAACACATGTGTACCCCTACAGATCTGTGGCAATTCTTCTGTGGCCCAGAGAAGAAAAGTTCGCTTTGAGGAAAATGTTTAAATACACACATACAGTATCCATGACCTGTACAGCTTTCTGTAATGATTTTATTCAAACCATAATTAAATATGCTGATATTCATCTCTCCCTTTTTTGTTTGATTTTCACCCACAGTGGGGGAAATTGAGTGCTCTAACACACTGTTGGCACAAATGGTACAGTAGTACACAAAATGCTATCTTGTAAAAAATATATTGGTCCCCATTTTGGTCCCTACACCCACTGTGTCAAGCAAGACGCAACTATCAAACTGAAACAGTCTTACAGTCCATTGGGTACATTTTATCTCCAGTGGCAAGTTGGTCTTAATATGAGGTATGGTCAGGTATAGTGGTGGCACGTTGATAATCTGAGGCAACAGAAGACAACTGCATCATTGTCCAGCAGAAGTTGGTCTTAAGGCAGGTGTATTATCAGGCTAGTATACACTTTATATAACAATAGATGACATGAAAACACCACAAAATTGAAGCCAAATCCTCTTGATCTCCCCCTGGTGGCTGGCTGCAGTATAAGTGATAAACCCTGCCTCCTCTATGTTATTGTATGGGACATGGACCAAACTTAAAGACTGTTTCTTTTATATTGAGTAGTTCTTCTCATACTGATGTAGTTTTTGTTTTCAGGTTTCTGGTAAGTTTGGTTTTAATGAGTTATTAAACACACTAAAAAGTTAAAGTCATGATTGACAGCTCCTAATTTACAGTCCATGAGGAAAGTGTATGTGTTGTTACACAAAGATTGTCTGCTTGCTCACAAATATAAAGTGCTTCCCATTTGCAGAAAAGTGTTCTCTCTCTTTCTACTAAGGACATCTAAAAATATAATACCTGAGTGCAGATGCATTGGAGATTCAGAGATTTTTTTCAAGATTCAAAGATTTTGGGGAGATGGCCCTCTGACTGGTTTAATGCATGCTACACCAAAAAACAATTCATGATTTAATAAAAGATAACCAAGAACAAACGTTTTGTTTTATGTATATAATTAAAGTAGCAAAGGTGGCTTTGGATACATTCTAAATGCACTTGCTCTGTGGTTTTATCATTAAAATAGTCTTTTGTGTTTAAGCACTTCACGTCACCGTGTTTTTGGCTAAGGCCAAGGCAAGCACATGCAGCTCTCCCTGATTTGCATAAAGTGGAATCTCACACAGAACATGTGTGCACTCATACCTATGCAAACTAAACTCTGCAGTTCACATGAACAAGCACATGGACATGAACAAGCAGGTTTAACCTTTACAATTGTCATCTCTGGAATATAATGAACCCCATCATTTGTCAATCATCACACGCTGCAGAGAATTCTTCAAAGGTAAACCACTATATGTAAAATAATCCAGGGACAGATAATCCCAATTATATAAGGGACTAAAATTACATAGAAGAAAGGGAGGAGTCACTGTAATCCCTCAGGGTTTTCAGTGTTTGGGGGAACTTTTACTTATATGAACAAAGTTGTCTTTGTACTGGCAACTTAGATTTGTGATGCTTTGAATAATATAATAAACTATATACCATCTACTTTGTTATGTTGAGGCCCACCAGAATGTCCATCCATTCATTTAAATTACCTTAGAATGCAAATATGATGGGATTAAAAAACATGGAGCAGAGTGTTGTTTTTTCTTGTTCAGTTCTCAAAGAATTATTTGCTGACCTTTACAAATTGACATGCTATATTTGTCACTATGTTCGAAACCATTGGACAGAATGACCTCTTTACACAGAGGTACAGAAGAGACGACACAGACTGTATAATAGATCATTAATAAGCTATTTCTACATACACATGCATAGGACCTTTTGAAATAGATTATGTAGCATCTGTAAATTATCATTCTTATGATCAGTTTTCCCCTAAACTGATGCTTTTTGTTTATTAATACAGTATATAAAGGCACATGTAGAGATGTATGAGCCTGACTCTAATCAGGATCTCAAACTTTTTTTAAACACTGGCCTTGGTTACTAAAGAGGTCCAACCAAACAACAGTGCAGGGCATTTATACTATGAGCAGCCGGTGCTTTAAATGTGGCAGCTGTCTCTTGACTAATCATTGACAACCCCTCTGCTGCTGTGAAGATAAATGTACATGTACTAAACACATGAACACACCAGGTCAGTCTCGTTCTTAGACCACACACATGATTATCAGTGGTCTACATCTCCTTTATTTTTCATTCATTGACAGTGATACTCTTTGTCTGCAAATGTCCCACAGCAGCAAACGAATGTACGAGATTGGTCAGGATCACAGGGACCCCAACCAACCAAATCCAGGTAGCTGGAGGCATTTGCAGACGATATATAAGAGTGAAAGCCTCTTTTCTGTTACACCTTGAACCACCTGTCCTAACTGTGTGACACATCAGCTCACCAAGCCAGTCAGGTAAGATTTTCAAATTCTTCACGTTGCTGTTTATGTTTGTGTGGATGTGGAACTTTGTCTTCCAGGTGCAGAATTTCTTCTTTGTGTCAGTATAGTTTTACATTTCTTTCCACTTCTACTATGTCAAAAAATCCTCAAGTTATAGTTTAATATCATTAATCACAAATTACATGTTAATCATAGATTAATTGCTATATAGGAAGTTGAGGATTTCACAACAAAATAATCTTTACACATGTCTACATAATGTTACTGGTTAAGCCTTTTTTAAGCCTATATGTTAACCATGTTAACCCAACAGATTTTCTTAAACCAGCAGTAACCAGGGGTAAATATATGTTAAACAAATGTGGGGTTTTTATTCTTAACTCTGTATTTTTACGTGTAATTCAAAAAGTTGTTCCCTTAAATCTTCCTTTAAGTTCTCACTCATAAATGTCTCTCAGACCTCTTGCATATGTCAGAATAGTTCTGGATCTTATTTTCCTCATCAGAGCTCAAATACTGCAGCGATGCCTCCTCCCGGTGTGTGTCTGAGCATCATTGAGGCTCGTCAGAAGCTGGAAGGTTATGGCAGCCCTTCCAACCCTGAGAGTTTCTTCAACCACAACTACCAGCAGCTGAAACAGCACTGCCTCAGCCGAGGATTGAGGTACATCGATGAGATGTTCCCCCCTAACAGTAACTCCATCGGTCAGGGGTTGCTGAGCCCCTCTGATCTGGCCCGTGTGGTGTGGCAGAGACCAGCGGTGAGTGTTTTGACTGAAGGTAAACTGCAAACAACCAAAAAACTCGGATTACAGCTCTCGGTGCTTTCATTTCCAGAAAATCACTCCTAATCCATTCTTCATAGTTGATGGCATCTCCAGGTTTGACTTTGGTCAAGGACTACTGGGTAGGGAAGTTTCTTAATTCCTCATGTTGTACTGATGTGCTTGAATGTCTCTCCTCTCTTAATAAACATGTTTTTTTCTAGGAAACTGCTGGTTTCTTGCATCAATCGGAGCTTTGACATTTCAGAAAGATATCCTCAGACAAGTTGTCCCTCTTGAGCAAACATTTCATGAGAACTACTGCGGGATCTTTCACTTCAGGGTAAATATACACACTGGGTGTATTTATTATTAATATGGTATATTGACATTCAGAGATCTGCAACATTACAAGTGTCTGCTAATATCCACTGGTTGTAGTCAGTCTTTAAGCCAATAATACTTGAGGCCATTTTGAATATCATAATGAGATAGGTTCACACAGTTTATCTGTATTTAAAGCTACTAGCATGTAGTATGTACTATAGTACACAGGTAAAGTTTAAGGCTTCAAAATGTTCATCCTGATGGCTTTGTCTCAATGACACACATGGCAGTACAACATTCAATTTTAATTTCACTGTACTTTTTTACAGTGTGTTTGATTGTGCCTTTAATTTCATGTGTAGCCATTACTAATATTTTGATATGAATATAAACTGCCTCAATCTAAAGCTGCTATTCAACACGGTTCAATATTTGCTGCATAATAGAAACAAGTAAACTGCACCTTACAGATTTGGAAGAATATAATTCTGTGATCTTTTATAAATAATGTGAATATGATAAAAAAAAAAAGAAAAGAACTGACAACGTATATTGACAGTATATATATTCCACATGCAGTGTGATGTTGTTCTTTCATTTCACCAGTCATTTGCCAATGAATTGATGATTTTTTTTAAATATTCGTATTCTCCTATTTTTCAAATCAGTTCTGGAGGTTTGGAAGTTGGGTGGATGTTGTCATTGATGACAAGCTGCCAACAATCAATGGTAAACTAATCTTTGTCCACTCCAAAGACCAAAGTGAGTTCTGGCCTGCTTTGCTGGAGAAAGCCTATGCCAAGTATGAAACTAAACAGTACAGTCCATGAAATTACTTTTACCTTATTTCTATACTAGTATCACATCTGCTTTTTTCAGAGTCTGTGGTTCCTACGTTGACATGAGAGCTGGAACTCCTGCAGAGGCTATGATGGACTTCACTGGTGGTGTCCACATGTGCATTGAGCTGTCTGATCCCCCTCCAAACCTGTGGGCACTGATGTTCAGAGCTGGACAATTTAAGACGCTAATGGGTTGTGGGACATATCAGGGGGTAAGTCCTAATATAGCAAACAGATCCAACACTGCCTGTTTCTTTTTCTGTCAACGTTTCTGCCAAGTGCACTGACCATCCATCCATCCATCATCTTGGGCACGACAAACATGACCTCATTTGAGGCCGTTTACTGCAAGCAATTTAGCCTAGCTTAGGACACACTCTGGAGAGATGGCAAAACAACTGACTGCCTCCTGCAAATAACCTCATGCAAAAATAAAAAGGTTTTGCATTGAACAAACAAGCTATAACGTGCTAATAAGTTCGCTTTTGAGGATCATGTTCTCTGCAAACATAGCTTGGCAAGATATTTCCCCTGATTTGGGACACTCACTGGAGCACTGTGACGTGCAAGACCATTAACCTGTAACAAATGGAGATGGATGAATGCATGATATTGATGTGCACATCTAATAGCCGTCATTTATCAGCCTAAACATGATGGCATATAAGCTTGCTAATGTTGCTGCTACCTCAGCTACATTCCTCTCCCGTTTGATCCTACCCCTATGACCCTACCTTGCAGGTTGTGGCTGTCTGTCAAGGACATATGTTTAGAGACTTATATTTGCTGAAACTGTAGCTCAATCAACTTTCACTGACAAATGTCTTTTGCTTATAGGAGACCTCTGCCAACACTGTGTCATCAAATGGATTGGTCCAAGGCCATGCTTACACTGTCACAGGTGTCAAACAGGTAGAGAATTAGTCATGGAAACATTGCACTTAGGACTGGAAGTGAATCCATCCCTTAATGCCAAGTTAAAACTTATGTTGTCATGCTACATGATCATTAATGAAATCATTTCTCGCACTTTTACATTCATGATATATATAATCATGGGGCCTTCATCTGTGATGACTGATGTCCAGACAACAAGTCGAGGTAAACTTGTAAACCTTGTGCGTTTGTGGAACCCCTGGGGCAAAGGAGAGTGGAACGGAGACTGGAGCGATCGGTAAGAACAACATTTAGATCATTTTTGCGACCACAAAATAGGTGAGACACAAACTACACATTCCTTTTTAGTAAACTTCCATAGGACAAAGATTGCATGTATACAGAGAGGCCTGTTAAACTCTTAAGTACCCGGTTATTATAAACTGGTTTTGCTACTTACTGTGATATATTATCCGCTGTATCCGTCTTCTTTTGAAGGCATTCATTTACAAAATTGCACCTCCTTTGCTGAGAAAAAAGTTTCGAGGCAGCTTTTTCTGAACATCAGGGGCTTTAAGGTTGAAAACACTTGAAAAATCGTACTGAAATGATCAATTTTCTTAAAGGTCTTCACTCTGGCAAACCGTGAGTGTTCAGGATCGTGAGATGTGTCTTACAGTGGGTGACGATGGCGAGTTTTGGTAAGCAAAATGTTGTCAGAATGTGGGAAACTTATTTAAGTCACACTCACAGAGCAGCGACTAGACATCAGTGTGAAGTGTTGTAAATGTAAGACACTCAAACAAATGCTTGACAAGTGCTGTGAATAGAAAAATACAGGTATCAAAAAATAAACATCCTGTATTTCTATATTCAAGCCTTCAAAAAATTCCATGCGAGAATATCCCAAAGGAAACTCACTAATTCATAACACATAAAATCCACCTCTAACAGAAGTTAGATAGAAGTTAGTTATGTAGTTTATTTGCTGCTATTGTAAGCATGAGTGTAGATCCCATCATAAACATAGCTGTGTGGAATGTGTTGTTGGTTTGGCTGGTGTTAATACTCCAGCCAGAACTTCTTCAGAATTATTCCACAATTAATGTACAATATTCTGTCAATTTTTATTGTTTGTGTGCTGGGCATTGTGTTCACAGCTTTTCATATACAGTTAATGGTGCAGATTGAACTGTGTGTTCATCCTACCTGTATCACTGAATGACTGGTTCACAAGATATGCGTTTCATATAAATTTCATCTACTTCTATCACATCAAACTCTGAGGATAAGCATCACATTCTAAAGAAATTTAAAAATGTGCACGTTATCTAATTGAATCTTGCTTTGACAGGGTTACCTTGGAAGACTTCTGTAAGTTCTTCGATGAGCTGAGCATTTGCAGCATGACTCCAAACTTCCTCGATGGAAACCCCTCTTGTCACTGGAAGTCCTTCATGTTTGCAGGCAGATGGGTTTCCGGAGCAACTGCTGGAGGATGCAAGAATAACAGCGGTACTGATAAATCTGCACTACAGAAATGTTTTCCCTTGAAAAAGAATGTTCTTATGTTATTATTATCCCGAGCACGCCATCGTATAGGAATCATTCATCCTCATGAACTATCATTGACCTTGCCATGGTATCTGTTCATCTGGTCTGACTTCTGACTTCACATCAGTACCCAATCATTTGATTTATCTCAATTGAGAAATAAACTTTGTTCTTCTCTTTGTCCCCCAGACAGTTTCTGGACTAATCCGCAGTATTTGATTAAGATTAAAGGTCAATATTCAGAGAAAGATGAGAGAGAGAAAAACATAGTGATGTCTCTCATTCAAAAGCCTGACAAGTGGAATCGACACATGATCCAGAATCTCCACATTGGATTCTCTATCTTTGAAGTAAATATTGCTCTGTCTTCTTTCTGTCACAGTGTATGACCCAATAGGTACATTACATGATTACAGGAGATATGGAAAGATGCTGCAGTTGTCAGATTAAGTGAAAACAAACATGTTGACCATGGTTTGCCCTTACTTTAAAAGTACTGGAAGGTCACTTCTATCAAAAGAAACTAGCTGCACAAAAACAATTATTAATTTATCATCTCGCAAATGACAAGCCTGGGATACTGGACAAAAGGTTCCACTTATGATTTT